GAAGGGAGTCTGTCCTTGGTTGGTGAACTGGATAGCAGCCTTTATGAAAGCTATCGTGCAATCCATATCCTCTCGTGTACCATACAGTTTTGTCTTCAGTGTGGTTGGAACAGGCCAGATTGCGTCTCTGTTGTCAGCATACGGTTGACAGTGTTGGAGCACATGCTCAGCATTTTCGGGTGCCACGCTGCAGGGACACGTCTCCGTATTTCCTACACCAAAAAATTTGAACATATGTTGACGAAATCTGCTTCAGAGTAGCTGCAGACAAATAATACCCTCTGTATAAATCTTTGGTTGCAGGTAAGGGTCAGAGGCTGAAAAGCGAAAAATTATGGAGGACTCATGCAAAAGACACAAAAAGGCAAGTATGCATGCTGGAAAACATTGGGCGAGGAGAAAAGTGGGCCAGAGTACCAGAGGAAAAGTTTGACCTGTGTAGGGTTGTGATCACATTGGACCTGCAGTACAGAGAGTGACCAGTGGGTGCTATGGAGGTGGAAGTTCAACAATTCTCGCCCATATGATCTGATTATCTATACAGATGGTTCTGTGTTGACAGGGAAGAGAAGCCAGTGGAAAATCTTCAGTGCAGGATAGTTTAGCATACGACACCACAACATCTATAATGGTAAATGCAGCTTTCCAGTGGTTAGAGAATAAGATGTATACACATTTCATAACTGTAACAGACTCTGAAAGCATGCTAAAAAGGGTGAAGACAGGGATGCTACGAGCAGAGTGGCAAGCTTCACTAGGAAGGTCACGGGTAGCCATATATACGAGCTTTGGAATTATGCCGGCGTAGTGGGGAATGAACAGTCAAACAGACTGGCTGGATCTGCACCACTGGATGGTGAATTGATACAAGACAGATGTGGTCAGTACCCTTTATGAAAAAGCAACGAAGCCAGAAGAGAAGATTATTATGCCTGGAAAGAATGAGGCACGTAGGTGTAACCAGCGGGTCTGGCCGGCTTACTAAACTCAGAGGAAAGGCAAGACGAACATATAACCAGATTACGACTGTTACCATAAGTACTGGAACTCTGCACTGGCTGCTGAAGATGAGGACGGAGCAAACATGGGAGTGCCCAAAGTGCTGTGATATCAGTTCTTGACTCAACTCAGGTCAACACAGTAAAACGTCATATCTAACCCTGTTATTTGCTTATTTCAAATCCAGTGTCGCCGCCACCACTGTTTCATGTTTATGTTAAAACCCCTCATATACATCATTAGCCAGGGTTGCAGCGCGTTCCTTTTCGTAACCGGCAACTTCCTAACCATCTCGGCAAAAGTCTATGTTTTTCAAGGTATTCCTGTATTTCGCCTGCCACCACCTTTTCAAGAACAAGATTAGGAAAATAGGGAGGAAGAGAAAGAAGAAGAAAATTAGAAGTAAAGCGAGAAGGAGAAAGGGAAAGAGAAGAGAAAAGAGGAGGAGGCGGGCAAAGAGAAAACGAAGAAGAGCAAAAAATAGGAAAGAAGAATTCGAAGACAAAAATAGTGAAATAGAAGAAATATAAGAAGTACAGTAGCCATAAGTCGTCCCAATATGGAAAGCAATTTTTTTTCCCTTAAAGCTGCCGGCGCGCTAGCTCAGTTGATTAAACCAGCCTGCGCGGCGACAGGGGGATAAAGTCCTTGTGGTCTGAGTTCGCGCCCGGGAGTAGGCAGAAAAGCTACATTTCACACCGATTTACGGTATCTATCACGAAATCAAGGCCAAATGGTTGCGATATCCACAGTACCGAGCCATAGAGTTTACAACTCATGTTTTCGGTTCAATTATTATAAAATAAAAATGTGAAGCCCTACGCAGGCTGTGATCGAATGACCACATATAATCTAACGACTGAACGGGGGTCTGTGGGACTTGTGCCCGGGTGATTCTCATCCAAATAATGGCACCTTGTGTCACCGGATGTTTATAGCTCGTTGGGTGGCCCTGTTTGGGTTGATCGTCCCTCACTCTTTAGAAGCAGAGAGAAAAAAACCGGATAATAATAATAATAATAATAATAATAATAATAATAATAATAATAATAATAATACGGAGGAGAAGAAGAAGTTGAATGAGGGGAAGGAGAAGAAGAACAAAAAGTAGTAATAGTAGTAGTAGCAGTAGTAGTAGCAGCAGCAGCAGCAGCAGCAGCAGCAGCAGCAGCAGTAGTGGTAGTAGTAGTGGTAGTAGTAGTGGTAGAAGTAGTAGTAGTAGTAGTAGTAGTAGTAGTAGTAGTAGTAGTAGTGGTAGTGGTAGTGGTAGTAGTAGTAGTAGTAGAAGTAGTAGAAGCGGAAGGAGTAGAAGGAGAAGGGGAATGAGGATAAAAAGGAGAAGAAGAAGAAGCAGAAGAACTGACGAAAATACCTTTTTAATCTCCATGTCTCTGCTGATGATGACCTCTTCCTTTCTTGTGAGTTCATTGTGTTTCGCAATGAGAAGTTTTTGCAATTTGTGGATCCTGAGAAGTTGTTCATATTGCGACGGATCTTTGCACTTTGTTTAATAAAAAAAAAAAAAAAAAAACAATGGTTGCATATTAGCGAAAGAAGGAAACAATGAATATAGGCACACACAAAAAAAAAACAACAACAATTAATTCACTAAACTCATTAATTCAATAATTGAGACCTTAACTTTAATTCTTCTCCTCCTCCTCTTCTTCTTCTTATAAATTATAGATAAGGTGTGTATGATATGTATGTATGCGTGTATGTGTGGAATATACATGTGTGGTATGTATGTGTAGGCGTGTTTGTGTATATATAAATGTATGTATCGGTAATTATGTAAGTTGTTGCGCGCGAGCGTATGTGTGTGTTTGTGAATGTGTCTATATGTGGGTGTATCTGTTTGTGTCTACGTGTATGTGTCTGTGTGTGCCTGCGCGTGTGTATGTGTGAGTTTGTGTGTGTGCCTTGTTGTGTTTGTGTGCGTGTGTATGTTTATGTGTGTGTCTGAAAGTGTTTTCTGTGTGTGTCTGTGGGTGTGTCTGTGTGTGTCTGTGTCACTGTGTATGTCTCTGTGTATATGTCTATGTGTATATGTCTTTGTGTGTATGCGTGTATGTCTGCGTGTGTTTGTCAGTGTGTGTGTGTTTGTGTTGAGTTGTGTGTCTCCGAGTGTTTGTGCATGTGTGTGTGTGTCTATGTATGTGTGTTTATGAATGTGTGTCTGTGTGTGTTTGTTTGTGTTGGTGCATGTGTGTCGGCGTGTATGACAGTGTTTATGTGTCTGCAAGTGTATCTTTGTGTATGTGTCTGCATGTGCGTGTGTCTGTGCTTTTTACGTGTATGTGTCTGTGTATGTGTTTGTGTGTGTGTCCTTGTTGTGTTTGTGTGTGTGTGTCTGTTTGTGCCTGTGTGTGTATGTGTGTCTGCGTGCGTGTTTGACTGCGTGAGTGTGTCTCGGTATACATCAGTGTATGTCTCTGTGTGTGTCTATGTGTAAATGTCTGTGCGTGTGTGTCTGCGTGTATGTGTTTTTGTGCACATGTGTCTGTGTGTGTGTTTGTCTGTGTGTGTGTCTGCGTGTGTTTCTGCGTGTATCTGTGTGTGGGGCTCTGTGTGTGTGTGTCTGCGTGTGTTTCTGTGGGTGTGTCTGTGTGTGCATGTGTGTATGTTTATGTATGTATGTGTGTGGATTATGTTTGTATGTAAGTTTAAATGTATATATGTGGGTGTGTGTGAATGTATGTGGGTGTATGAGTTTTTAAGTGAGTGTGCAGGCGCGTTTATAAGGGTGTGTGTGTGTGCGCTAGAGCCTTTTTTTTTTTTTAAATTCACAATATGCATATTATTATTTGAATGTTATATGCTTTATTGATAAAATACAACTGCTGCGGGAAAGACGGGTGTTTGGAAGGGCCGAATGTGACACAGGCCTGGGTGACGGATTTGTGACACTTCGAAAATAAAGTTCGTTCGTTCGTTCCTCCTCTTCTCCTCCTCCTACTCTTCTTTTTTTTTTTTCCTTCTACTTCCCCTCCTCCTTCCCTCTTCTTCTTCTATTTCTTCTTCTTCTTCTTCTTCTTCTTCTTCTTCTTCTTCTTCTTCTTCTTCTTCTTCTTCTTCTTCTTCTTCTTCTTCTTCTTCTTCTTCTTCTTCTTCTTCTTCTTCTTTTTCTTTTAATTTTTCTTCTTCTTCTTTCTTCTTCTTCTTCTTCTTCTTCTTCTTCTTCTTCTTCTTCTTCTTCTTCTTCTTCTTCTTCTTCTTCTTCTTCTTCTTCTTCTTCTTCTTCTTCTTCTTCTTCTTCTTCTTCTTCTTCTTCTGCTACTTTTTCTTCTTCTTCTTTTTCCTTTCCTTCTTTTTCTAAGAGGCGTTGGTCACGTATCTGTGTGGTCGACCACCAACACACTAACCTTTAGCGTCACGTATCTGTGTGGTCGACCACCAACACACTAACCTTTAGCGTCACGTATCTGTGTGGTCGACCACTAGCACATTAACCTTTAGCGTCACGTATCTGTGTGGTCGACCACTAGCACACTAACCTTTAGCGTCACGTATCTGTGTGGTCGACCACCAACACACTAACCTTTAGCATCACGTATCTGTGTGGTCGACCACCAGCACACTTACCTTTAGCGTCACGTATCTGTGTGGTCGACCACTAGCACACTAACCTTTAGCGTCACGTATCTGTGTGGTCTGGGCGCCTTAAGTTCCTCTATGGCCATGCGTTTATTCTGTTCCAACTGAAGCTGGCGGCAAGCATTGACAAGTTCTTGTCTACCAAAAAACAAAACAAAAACGCCATTGACATTATACTTTGGCTGCTCGTTTATCACTTTGTGTCTTCGTGTGCGCGCTAGCGAGTGTGATGTGTGTGTGTGTGGCGGAAGTGTGCGTGCGTAATTGCGTGCGTGTGTGCGCGCGTGTGTGTATGCATAGACGATGGGCCGAAGAATTATTGTAGACACTGAAAAGTACTATAGGCAAATGTCGCCCTTCCCAGGGACTTATTCCTGCCCTGACACTACGAGGCATTCCTGGAGCCGGGTTGCCAGACCCAAAGACAACCCAAATTAAACCAGAGAAAAGCCAAATTAATTGTAATATTGAACTCACTTCTCATCAAAAGCTATAGATTAAATTCCTGACTGTTATCATCGCTGGAGCAAGTGGAAGATACTGCGTAAACCTTTACAGCCTTAATGCAGGCGATATATATATATATATATATATATATATATATATATATATATAAATTATGCATGAACATTTGGTTCTGTGCAACTGAATGTGCTCCAGTGTACTCCCTCGACCATGCGGTCTCATGATTTCAGTTAGATGATCAGTTGTGCATATTGCACAATGGCAGGTCTTGCTTACAACAAGTTGCAACTCTGCTGCTTTAACTTTATCATGACTTTGTCTAGCAGCCGTTGTAGTAATAAGCAGTGACTGGCTTTTCGACTGAGTTTTCATGCTCTGTGTGTGTGTGTGAGTGCGTGCGTGCGTTCGCGCCCGCGTATGCGTGTGTGTGGTTTTAAAAAAAAAAATGATTTGGTATGTTACTAATTCTTGGTTACAATAGTGCATTGACAGTTTACAATGTGCAGCCTAGAACTAGGTGTATATCATCTTTTTTTTCTATCCTCAAGTAGTTTCTGAACAGTCTGAATCATTTGGCGTAACTGGTGGGTTCTTGGTTTTATATAGCACTTATTCTAGTAAATTAACATTTTCTCTCAGTAAACTCCCATCACCAGCACAGATAAGTCTGCCAGGCTACGTGACTCCGTACTGCATGAAGTGCGAACGTGCGATGGTTTATCCATGAAGTGCTTTATTACAGTTACATTACAGAGGGCCTTGGTTCGTCGCAGTCACGATCCCTTTAGGAAGACAACAAATTGATACAGATGATAGAGATGGAGCGAATCTCCTTTAGTCCGGGTGCCAGCCGTACCAGGACAACACAACAAAGGCAAACTGAAATAAAGATGTTAACTGTAGGCCTACACTGCTTTTAGTAAATTGTTAGTTTGTCACGGTGGAACTATGAAGAAAATGTGAGCATTTCTTGCTTAGAAAAGCCATGAAAACTACAGATACGGCAAAATGCGTCAGCTTATTGTCTTAATTAAGCCAGCTCAGTTTCAAATATGCCAAATTTGTGGAATCTAACTCCAAAAAAGCCAGTATGGCAACCCTGTCCTGAGGTGCAGAAAAGAAAATTCAGAATATGTGTGTGTGTTTGTGTGTGAGTGTGTGTGTGTGTGTGGGGGGAGGATTTTACACACACATACACACAGATACACACACACACACACACACACACACACACACACGGAAACACACACACACACACCATCTCCTCTACTAACGACCTCTAGACTTATACAACAGTCCGCTATTACGACCACAAATGAAATGTAGGTTTGCGGAATTTCATTTATCTACTTTTTTACGTTACGCAGTTTTGAGGTTTTATTTTAAAAATTGTGTGTGTGTGTGCGTGTGTGTCTGTGTGTGTGTGTGTAAGGGCACCGTGGTGTGGCGGATGTGGGTCGTGGGCTCGGGTCTCGACGGAGCTGGACATTTTTTAAAAATTAAATTACCTTGCCTCCCAGGTCGACCCAGCCTTGAGTGGCTACCGGGTGCAGTCCCGGGGAGTAAAGGCCGCAGGCGTGATGCTGACCACATCACCCATCTGGGGCCGATTGGCCTATAAAATATAGGTCTATAATATAGCCCTATATGCCCTATACGCCTAAAGGCGTGGAAAAGGGTCCTTTACTCTACTTTTACTTCTCTGGCACCGGTTTTTCTGTTCGGCTTACGGCAAACGTGGACCACCAGGAAAAGCATCCCATCACAATATAGATATATATTTGATGTATTGCCAGGCTTCGCCCAGATAGTGAAAGAAAGTCTTATTCTTCCGCCCTTTACCTCAGCTTGGTCTCCGCCACTGCCCTATGTGTAATTAGTTGCGTATCCTGGACATGATGTTACAGAACCAACCCCGAAATTGTTTGACTCTTGTGGTTGTGGACAAATTTTACGCTCAGTAGTTTGCCATTGCTCTGTGAGCGGCCAGCTCTCGGTACCACTGTCGAAACCAAAGCAAGACAAACCGTCTGCAACTGGGATTGAAGTCGGCAATCTGGCATTACGAAGCTTGTTCGCAACGCCTAAGCCACAGACGCCGACGCCTGTAGTGGAAATAGGGGTCTAACTAAAACCACATATTTCGTCCCGTCCTCTACTTTATCTTTGTCTCCTCTGCCTTATCTTTAGTAATTGCCACAAAGTGCACCCGAGGCATTCCCTGTGTGTGTTTGTGTGTGTTTGTGCGTGTGTGTATGTGTGTGTGTGAATGTTTTGTATGTTGCTCATATTTTTGAAAGTCTGTTTTACATTCGTTGTATTTTGTAAGTCTGTTTTACATTCGTTGTCGTTTGTAAGTCTGTTTTACATTCGTTGTCATTTGTAAGCCTGTTTTACATTCGTTGTCGTTTGTAAGTCTGTTTTACATTGGTTGTCGTT